CATCGGTCCCTGGAGCTGAGGGTGGGGGGCAGTTGGCTCAGTGTGGCCTAGTCCTTTCACATCCAGTGTACAATATGACCCATCATCTCCACTGCTTCACTCTTTGAAGAAGGGGTGCCCAGGGGAAGCTTGCATCTGTGCACCGAATCTGTTCTCTCCTGTAGCATTCTGTGATGTCTTGAGGACTCAGCCTTGTGGTGAGACCAAGTGGATTTACCTCAAGAACCCCTTCTCCAAGTGCTGTTCTAGGACTGGTCCTAGTCTGTTGGGTTCTGGAGGTACAGGCTACTCCAAGCAGTGGGACCAGGAGCTGGCAGCACAAAGTACCCAAGAAAGAGGGAGAGAACCCTTCCAAGTTGGACACAAGGCATTGATGGACCTCTGTTGGTCCAGGGTCCATGTGGTGGTGAGAGAGGTAGGGCTGAGGTGGAAACATCTGGGATAGAGGGTAGGAGGCATTTGTAGTCACACCACAACAATATATTGCAATAAAAGGATGTGCCAGAGATCATTGAGCCATGGAGTCCCAGACAGGAGCCCAGGATTCAACAGCAAAGAGGATTTGAACTTTGTTCGTGACCTCAGGGCCTAGGTGATGTCCTTGAGCTTTTCTACTCAAGGCTAGTGCTCTACCTCTTAAGCACTTTCTGCTTTCTGGTATTTGATTGCAGGTAAGTCTCATAACTCTCCACCCTGGGCTGGCTTTGAACTGTGAGCCTCAGATCTGTCTCCTGGGTAGTTAGCATTACAAGCATGAGCCACCAATGCCTGGCTTGAGGACTTGAACTTTTGAGTGAAGTTGTTTATGTGACAAGATGAGATAGAGGATAGGGACAGACAGAGAGCTAGGAGTACAACATCCAAGCACAGTGTAGCTGACTGCAGGCCCACCTTTAAGGCGCTGGAGTGATGACTTGTAAATGAAGAATCCCATGAAGCACATTGTGTGTGGCTTTCCTATGCAGTAAGCAGCTCTGGCACTCAGGACAGGGCCAGAGTATTTGGAGCTATACTTGGACTTGGCTATCCCTTGAGGCTGACCGAGACTTTACTTCATGGCAGCAGCCAACTGGAACACAGCTTGGGGCACACAAACAGAAGCAGGACAACACTGAGGTAGGACCGGCTGGGAACAAATGCATGCTGAGGATGGAGGGTGCTCATGTGTTCATATGGTGTGCCTGCGGGCTCTGAAGTTGTTTTGGTTGAAGTGTTACCCACAAAAGTGTGGGGATTCTAACAACATGGCTTGGTGGCTGTTTACATAGTTTCACTTGGGATAGTTTGGATTCATGTTTGTCTCTCTTCCTCTTTAAGATAGAGTCTGGGGTCCAGGACATAAGAAATACTCAGTAGATGCTTATGGAATAGAGGCCAGTAAAAGCATGAGGAGTGAGGAATTTTAGATTGAGCTTGACTGAAAAAAAAATAACTCTGGAGCTATGTTGTTATGTGGTTGCCTTATGAAAGAAATGCATTGAAGAACCTGGGTGCAGATGATTCACATCTGTAATCCTAGCTAGCCAGGAAATTGAGATCTGGAAGATCATGGTTCAAACTCAGCTGGGAAGAAAGATTTATGAGACTTCATCTTCAATTAACCAGCAAAAGGCTGGACTGGAAGGTGGCTCCTGTGGTAGGGTACCAGCCATGAGAAAGCTGAGATCTCAGGCTCTGATTCTAGCCCCAGCAGACAGCCCCTCCCCCACCCCACAACCATACCCACTATACATTTCTGTCCATTGCCCCAGCCCAGAACAGCATGCAGAGGGACTAGTGAAGTTGGAATGAGACATAGCTCTGGAACCTTCATTTTCCTTAAGAGAAAGACAAGCTAAAATGCAGCGTGCATTAAAGCAAAGCTTACTTGCATGGTGTTTGTCCTTCCTCTTGCATGGACTCCAGGTAGAACTGGGATAGGATGGAGGGTGTGATGAGAATCTAGTGTTGTGTGGAGAGAAGCATCCTATTATTAGCTCTTGAGATAGCCAACAGAAGGCCTTCTAGGCACCAAGTTCAACCTCTGGCACACAAAAGCCCTGGCAACCAAGAGGACTGACCCCTCCCCTCTACCTCTTTTTTCAGTCTGTATTGGTGGACATATTTAAATGTTCTAGGAGCCATTTGTGGCCCAATTCCTGATCCCTAGAGGAGGAAGCCAAAGTTTGGCTTTTATCTTCCACTTTCATCTGGAATTCAGACCTGAGGAACACTCGGCAAGATGACGGAAGTACCCGGGGGAGTGAAAGACTGCTTCTGTCAAGGGCTAGCACAAGTTTTGGGCAAACCTGTCTTACACCTCATCAAGAATGCTTTCTCTTTTCTTCAGGTGTCTTGGTAGGCCTTAAAATAGCCAGTCCCAGTGGGTACCAAAACAGTGCATGAAACCCTGGAGTGGGGGCAGTTCTCCAAAGGCAGAATTCCATGGAGTAGAGAAGGGACAAGGGGGAGAACTGATGAAGTCTTGACAACACAAGCCAAGGAGGACCAATGCCATTTAACATATATTTATTGAAATCTACTCAATGCAAGGCACTGTGCTAGATTTGGTAGGAAATTAAACACGAAGGGCAACCCCTGTCTTCTAAGAGCTCACAATCTAACAAGTGGAGGATGGGGGGGGCGGGGGAGGGAGGGATAGAAGCCAAATCCACAAACAGCTCTAGTGCAAGGCTGATTCTAGTGAGTACCATAAAACAGACAAGGTAATGAAGTTGGGGAGGAACAAGAAAAAGAGTGCCCCAAAACAGAAATACAAACTGTCGCAGGTGGACATATCAACTGCTCTGAGATATACAAGTAACATTGATGGTCAAGTTTGAAGAGACTATTTCTATTTCTGAAAGTAAATATACAGACAGGTGCAATGAGAACTCTAGAATGTAAGCACACTAGCAACAGAGGAGTTATCAATCCCCTATTCTGATCAATTTGCTGGGAAAACACTTCCAAAATGGAGAACAGAATAGGCAGTGATGAACTCATTATCTGGACCAAACATGGCTTCAGGAAAGGAACAATATTTGGGCAGAAAAATTCACGTGTTAAACTCACGGAGACTAGAAGGCATAGATTTTCACCCATTCTAGTGAACAGAATACAGTACATTTAAACAAGTGTTCATGACAGTCAGGTGGGCCTGGTCAGGAATGCTAGCCGGGTAGTTGAAAAGGAATTCCAGCAATGTAATTTTTTTTGGGAAGCAGAAAAATAGTCAAATGAAATTAGCTTTGGACAGGTTGCAAAAAAGCAGAGACCCACTCAAGCTGGCTCAGGTTAAGGGAGACTATAGTAGCAACACATATGAAACAATGAGGGTAGACACAAGCAAAGCCAAGAATATAATGCAGCTAGTCCTCCCGCAGGCCAGTGAGACGAAATGAGTGCTGGGAAGTCCAGCAGGAGCCCACCGACCTTCGACTTGGTGCCACCTACAAGGGCCATTCCTCAAAAAATGCAAGTGGTTCTCTCTCTAGTCCCAAAATCAACCAGAAGCTCCAATTTTCTTTTTATTTCAGACTTGACAGACTCAGTCCATCATCTCTAGCCACATCCAATGACTGCCGACTGCCCTTGGATTAGGTGTTGGTTCTGGTTTAATCAGTGTGAACTAGAGCTAGTCACATGGCACATAAGGCCACAGCCCTGGGCTGGAGGCAGAGCAGGTGCCATGCCACTGCAAGCACAAAATCAAATACCCACAATGCACTATCATGGAAGATGCTCACTGTGATCGGATTTTCCAGGAATGCATGAATTGGCATGACACAACCAACTGACAGATAATCATAAGTGCACACCCCCCCGAAAAAAGCAAACTGATTTTTTTCTTTTTTAAAAAGTTTCAGCTAGGACCCAAAACTAATGAAAACAATGGAGGGGCTGGAAGCCAGTGGCTCACACTTATAAAATCCTAGCTACTCACGGGAGGCTGAGAGCTGAGGATTGTGGTTTTTTTTTTTTTTTTTTTTTTTTTTTTTTTGTGTCCAGTTGTGGGCCCTGAACTCTGGGCTTGGGTGCTGTCCCTCAGCTCTTCAGCTCAAGGCTAGCACTCTACCACTTGAGCCACAGCAACACTTCCGGCTTTTTTCTTTTTGCTTATGTGGTGCTGAGGAATCGAACCCAGGGCCTCATGCTTGCAAGGCAAGCACTCTACCACTGAGCCACCTTCCCAGCCTGAGGATTGTGTTTTGAAGCCAGCCTGGGCAGGAAAATCTGAGACTCTTATCTACAGTTAAGCACTAAAAAGCCAAAAGTGAAATTGTGACTCAAATAGTAGGACGCTAGCCTTAAACAGAAACAGCTTGGGGACGGCACATAGGCTCCGAGTTCAAGTCCCAAGACTGGCAAACAAACCAACAATAGAGCGCTCTTTCTTTTATCTTTTGTCGGTTATGGGGCTTAAACTCTGGGCCTGGGCGCTGTCCTTCAGCTCTTCAGTTCAAGGCAAGTACTTTACCACTTAAGCCACAGCACCACTTCTAGTTTTCTGGTAGTTTATTGGAGATAAGAGTCTCATGGACTTTCCTGCCCTGGCAGGCTTTGAATCATGATCCTCAGATCTCAGCCTCCTGAGTAGCTAGGATGACAGGCATTAGCCACCGGAGCCAGATAGGCCTCTTTCTTTCAATGTAGTAACAGCATATATTTTACTGAGTGCTAGAGTTCCATGTAATCCCAAAGCATTCCATTTGTGGTGCAGTAAGAATACATGTGATTAGAAAGAAAATGCAATGAGGTAGATATATGAATGCATAGGCAAGCATACACACAACAGGAAGCTTGCTCACATTTGGAAAGGATGTAGCAGTATTCCTAGAGATTAAAAAACAAAACCCATTGCTATGTGTCCTGAAGCAAAGGATATACCTGGTGAAACAACAGAACACATTAAAGCCACAGGCTACATTTGGAGAGAGTGTGGATTTCACCACCAACACCATGAAAAGCTGATCCAGCAATAATAATATTTAAAAAATGATCTTTAGTGTTAACTTTGAAAAAGGATTTAAGAGAAATCAAACCAAAACTAGCAAAAAATGAAGCAAGGTAGAAAGGGATGCCAAGACACCATGACCTGGCTGGGAGTAATGACCAGTAGGCTATGCTTTAGTCTAGATTCTAATGGGACCTTTCATTATCCATGACAAATGACAAGTGAATGAGCAAGAAATGGCAGTCTGTCCATCAAGGCAAAGGAGGCAGATTTTCCCCTGATAGACATCAACACTTCTTCCCCAATGATGAGTGTACAAAACATGTAACAGTTCAAAAAGATGAAAGTGGCAGGAGAAAAATGCAAGCACTGAGTCCAGAGAGCAAAAGGAATTAGTATTCAACAAGGGCTCTTGGGTTCCCTCCAGCCTGTGGGTCAGGATGGAGATGATCCATAGGGACACAGGGGCCCTAGGGACAATGGTGTCCAGTAAGGCTTTCCAGATTATACCCACTTGGGAGCCCTGTGCCTCCTTCAGTGGGCTGTCAGAAAGCCATACTTCTTGTCCAAGTTCTCTAGTACTCCCCATGGGCACAGCTGCTGGGAATTGATGCCACAGCCCTGGTGTGGCCAGCTTATTGCCGGCCCTGGCTGCTGTTTCATCTGTGGGATGCTGTCATCCCAAGTGACAAACCAACATCAGCATGACCAGCTTCTATTTCTAGGCCACACAGACTGTGAGAACAGCCTCACTGCCCTCCAGAACCTTACTCTGTCGCCCCTCTTGGGCATGACAACTGCACATTCTGGCCCAGGCCCAGTACAACCAGCTCATATCAGCATGACAAGGAGGCCACTGGATAAACACAGTTCCTCCTCAAGCCTCTGCTCTCTTGGCTGCAGGAAGTAATACCGGAACATGTGGGCATATTTCTCCCTCTTTGTCCAAAGTAGAAGACACTAAACTGGTGTTTCTTTCCAGAGTCACTCACCGAGAGAAGGATGACGTCCATGTGATGACATTAGGTAAGCAAATCTTCTTGTGTCTGGGATATTTCTCATTTAAGTAAATCTGCTCAGTCACTAAGTCCATGCCCAGCATTGCCAAGGCTCCTGGGAGCTTGAAGGATGGGGCAGCTGCTGCCAGACTTGAGTTTAGACCATCCTGCTGATATAGGTGAGACTAAGCCCTGTTGTTGGTGGCTAGAATTCTATCGACAAGCATTCAGGTGTGCTCTGGGCAGCACGTGATGCTCATGTCTCTAGAGTGCCTCCAGGGCCCAGGCTGGATAGTCGAGTACCACCCACAGAAGTACACAGTCTGCATGTTCGATGAGGAATGTGCCTGCTTCTCTGGCCTATTCTCATCCTGATTGTCCACCTGGAAAATGTACCTTCCAGTGGACAAGAGATTCAACTTTGCATTTGTAGGTAAATTCTAGAAGAAAGTGTCATATCTAAGTACTGAAGCAAAGACAGCCACAACTTAGATAAAAATGAATGCTAACATAGATTAAAAAAAAACAAATGCTTGCACAACAGAAATATAATAGAAGCGCTACAAAGAGCAGAGCAATAAAAATTGGAAAAGAACATCGCCATCAACATAGAAAGAACTGCTCTATAAAGTCAATCTATCCAAAGATAACTTGGTAATGAGTCAAAGGAGATGTACATCCAATTTGCACGCAAGAAAACTGAATAGTATTGAGGTCATTGCATGAAAGATGAGACTAGTAGGCAGGAGGCCTGAGATCCATCCCCGGTTCTGGTACTAATGAGCTGTAGGATGACAGCAGTTACTGTGGCCTTAACTTAGAGTGTACCTCCGTGCTGGTGTGTGCAGCGCTCTGCAGGGGTGATGGCAGTCCTCACAATAACATTAGGAGGTCGGTACTGTGCTTGCCCACTTTACAGAGCAGCAAATGGAGGACTGGAGAAATACCATTTAGGCTAGATAACAGTAGAGGCTCTTGTTTCCAAGGGGGCATTGTCACCCAATTCTCGAGTTCCCGAGATGCCTCTCTTATTTGGGGATGTCTATAGGGGTCACCAGAGTGAATTGGCTTAAGAAACACTGAGGCAGGAAATAACCTTAATTCCGTAACTTTTACTAGGAGTGTGGCTTAGGACTAACGTTTTAGAGGCTAAAAAAAATATCCTTTAAAAGGTCATTTGAAAAAGCACCACTTTATGTGGTTATATTACACTTATAGGAGCTGTCTTAATACTATCTGATTATGTTCTTATGGCTTAGGAGGAAATTTCTAGTGAGAGTCTCATGAGGGATTGTCACAGTGCTGCCACACAGGCTTCAAATGGAAGGGACTGGCTGTGCTCTAAAACTTGTGTGATGACCCAAAGAGATTCATGCTCATGTCTGCAAAGACCATGAGTTCAAAATCACATGAGGGGAGTTAGAATAAAATGATTTCACAAAATGTAGCAGGGTAAAAAGGAGTATTCTCTGAATTAATATATTATTCTATATAGGATGTGATTTACAATAGGTATTGTATGTATAAGTAAGTTAATAAATTAAATATTAAGATTTTTGAGTGCTCTGTTTACATCCCTAAAAATGTATAAACTCAAGTAGGCCAAAAAGCGTTGGGGGCAAGCTTCTCTTAGAGAAGGGTGGGATCACATCAGATTGATACCATGGTCAGGCACCTGTGTTTGTTTCTGTCAGGGGCAGAGCTTGGAACAGATCACTTCCAGTCCTTCCCTGCTCCTACATCCAGATCTCCCTTCTCATTCAGGACATGACGATTACAGCACCTTGACAGTACTTTCTGCCAGGTGAACAAGCCAAGCTAAGTAAAAACGGCAAAGCTTCTCTTGATGAGCAGAATGGAAATGTGTACACTTAGGAATTGCTGGTGGCAGTATAAGCTGGCTCAACCTCTCTGACACTAAAAGAGTTAAGCGGTACAAAACAGTTCATCTCCTTTGACTCTGCCATGGCCTCTAGGAACCAGAGGTGTTCCTCTCACAGTGCGGGCATGTCTACTCTTGGTGGCTGGGCTGATGCTTCTGCAGGGCCGAGCGCCTCTTGAACACACGGCCACACTTACTGCATTCGCAGCGTCTGGCCCCACTGTGGATCCGCCGGTGGCGACTCAGGCCCGAGCTCCTCCGGAAAGCCTTGCCACACTTGTCACACTCATAGGGTTTCAGTCCACTGTGGATGCGCCGATGCTTGATGAGGTCGGAGGGCCCCCGGAAGGCTTTGCCACACTCGCCGCACACGTAAGGGCGCTCTCCACTGTGGATGCGAGTGTGCTCCAGAAGGCTGGAGCTCTGCCGGAAGGCTTTGCCACACTCGCTGCACTCATAGGGCTTCTCACCTGTGTGGATACGCCGGTGCTTGGTGAGCTCCGAGCTCCTCCGGAAGAGCTTGCCACAGTGCGGGCATCCATAGGGCTTGGCCCCGCTGTGGATGCGCTGGTGCTCGGCCAGGCCGTTGATGCCCCGGAAGGACTTGCCACAGTCATCGCAGTCAAAGGGCAGGTGGCCTGTGTGCATCCGCTGGTGCTTGAGAAGTTCCTGACGATCCAAGAAATCTCGGCTGCATGCCTTGCAGGCAAAGGGCTTTTCCAAAGTGTGAAGCTTCTGGTGTTGAAAGAGGTGCGTGTTGGCTTTGAAGGACTGGCCACACTCCTCGCAGTCAAAGGGCTTCTCTCTGCTGTGCACTCTCAGGTGCTGACTGAGGCCTGCATTCTTCTTAAACCTTTTCCCACACTCCTCACATGCAAAGGGCTTTGCCTCTCTCTCCATTTGCTCCCTCTTTTCAATGACATCTTCCAGGGCCTGACTGGGGCCAGGTCGAGGCTGGCTGGCCACGTGGCTTTTCCTGTGCTCATTAAACTCTGACACCTTCCTGAAGACTTCCCCACAATCACCACAGTCCCAGCCCTTCTCTTCACTGTGCACACTCTGGTGCTGAACAAGGAGCACTTTAAGCCGGAAGGTGTCCCCGCACTCTTTACATGCGAAATGGTGCTCTATGGGTAGATTTGGTGGGCTCCCTTCCCTCCCATCCAAGTCCCCATTCTGTTTGACCTCAGCACCGGGGTCACTGGTCCTGGGGTAGCTCGTGGAAGCCGTCTCCTGAGGCTGGCCTTCTTTTCCCATCGTCAGCTGGTGGGTCACAGAGGTGCTTTCTGCAAGGATAAGTAGGGAACACTGCAGTCTGCAAAGAGTGCAGGAAGGACGCAGCTTTTCTCTATCAATTAAGCTGCTGAGCACTGGGCTTGAACCTAGGTGCCACCAGAAACTAGCACAAGGGGAAGGACTAAAGGACCTGAACGCTGGACATTGCCTACACAAAGGAGTGTTAAGGAGGTCTCCCTTTGGGAGAGCAGCCACACCCCTCCCTGAAGCCTCAAATGGGCTCTCAAACAGAATCTCAGACTCCCATCAGCTCAGTTAATGTGCCCAAGATTAACTCAACTACAGCAGCTCAGATCAATCCTCTAGCTCTAAACCAAACCCAAGACCAGTCAGCTGTGCCTCCCTACCTCCCAGTTTCCTCATACTTTTTTGGGTTATTTTTCACTCACCGGAATGTTTAGCTTGAACTGTGCCGAGGGATGAATCTGAGACCAGTAGTACTTGTCCTTGTGCCAGGTGTGAGACCAAGGTAGGATTCAACACAGGAACTCCTGCTTGTGGAAAAGGAAATGGGTTAAGAGACAGACATCAGAAGAAAGAATAGAGGCAAGGCTTCAAAGGGAAAACCCCTTCAAGTCCTCAAAGACTTGGCTGGCTGTGACTCTAGGGAAGACATTCATGCAGATCAAATGTAGTTCCCAGCTCCTACTGAGCACTGGAGGAAGACAAGACTCCAGGCTCTCTTGGGGAGGCTCCAATGGGACATGGTAGGTGGCCTCCCACTGTCTACTCCCAGTGCCCACGAGCATGAATCTCATGCTCGTCTCAGATCTGGGAACTTCTGCTACTCCCAACAGTCTTTCTTCCCAGTACCTCCCCTTCACACATAGAGAGCCTCATCCTGTCCACTCCTTTCAACAATAAACTTTAATCAAATAGCCAGACAATTCATAGAATCCATGGGCTAATGAAAGTATTCTAACTGCTTTTCAGCCTACCAGCTAAGATCAAGTGGTGTTTCTGCTCTATTTGTTTACTTACTATCTACTTCGTTCTTTATCCAAGGACAATATATTAAATTAAAAGTATTCTAAATGCTAGTGAGAAGCTTGTTATAATAAAAGACTGCAAGGGGGCTCTTTCTGGGCCATGAGGAGTTGGGGAACTTGGAGATGTTCACTGTGGCAGATCCTCTGCATTTCTCTATTACCTAGGGACAAGTGAGGCAGTGTGGGGTTGTCCCTACTCCACTCCTAGGAGGCAGCAAACCTGGGAAAGGGCTCAGTTCATTCTTACCAATGGAGGTCACATTCCCGTAATATGCCAGCATCCTCTGTTCAGGGTTCAGATTCAACCACTCCCTTTTTGTGAAGTGCCATGCCACATCAAATGGCACCAAATCCTGAAAGAATTTCCAGGAATAATCAGTCTTTCCATTTAGTCTGCAATGAGATTGAGGTGTCACAAAGAATGCTAATGGCAAGAGGTGAGGGCCTGGAGTGAGTGAGTGAGTGAGTGTGTGTGTGTGTGTGTGTGTGTGTGTGTGTGTGTGTGTATTCTGCTAACATGAGGATCCAACTACAAGCTTCAAGAAGTCCTTGTGGCCCAGCCCTGGCCTCCTACTATCTTTGCCAAGGGATCTCAGTTTAATCATGTTCCCATTCTGAAATTCAGCTTTCCCACCTCTAGGATGGGAATTCAAAGTCCTGCGTGCATTGATTTCTTAGCCTTCAGAAGAGAAACAGAGGACAATAAAGGGAGGCAAAAGCTGGGCTTCACACTCTATTGTATGCCATGCTGGGCAAGAGGCAGAGGCTATGGCCAAAATCAGGAAGCAGAGACAGAATCCCAAGCAAGGCAGAGGGAAGTACAGCTCACCTGGGCCTCGGGCACCTCAAGAGGGACTGCCAGGACCTGGTTTCCTGGGGTTCCATCCTGGGTAAGAGCAAGACCTTGGGGAGCAGGTGGAGCTAAGGAAAGTGAAAAAAAGCTATCAGTGACAACAGTTCTATTTCTGGGTACCCTGTGATGGGAATGGCGATTTCCTGTTCCCAGTTTGTAAGTCCTGTTGGGTCCTTTCTCATATGCAAGCCAGGCATGGATATGCCTAAGAAAACTTAACTCAAACAATGGGAAAGTAAGGTGATGCCAAATTAATATAGGCCAACCAGGAGGGGTCAAAATAAAGCAAACAAATGCCAGTCCTGGTGAAGCCAAAGATAGCCACAGAGAACCTATGGCAAGGAGACCAGCTCTTAAAAAGGCAGGCTGACCATAGGCCTCCCTTACAGGAAGCCTTGAAGAGGTCAAAGTACATACTGTACAGGAAGGCTAAAAACAATATTGGCAGAAAAAATTAGGAAATGAAGCCAGGTACTTGTGGCTCATGCCTGTAATCTTAGCTACTTGGGAGGCTCAAGACCAGTTGGGGCAGAAAAGTTCATGAGATTTTGTCTTCAAAGAAAGGAAGCTAGATGTTGCAGCATAGGCCTGTGATCCCAGCAATAGCAGGTGAATTATGGCTAGGGTGCTTGCCAGGTGGGAAGTGAGACCTTATCCTAAAAATAACAAGTAAAAAACAGGGTTAGAGGTGTGGCTCAGCAGGACAGCTGCCTAGCCAGTGGGAAGCTTTAAATTCAAACTCCAGTACTACCAAAACAAACAAACAAATAGGAGATAGGAAGCCCTTTCCAGCCTTGTAAAAGGAAACAAAACTGGATCAGGCTACTAAAAGAAAGAGAGGGAACCAAGTGTAGGAACCAAGGCTTCTTGACCCTTGATGAGGCACTTAAAAGCCATGCCCCACTAAAATAAATTTGCCAGGTGAAAGTCAGTTGCACATGAAAACTTTGCTCTTGAATCATTCAACAAAATGAAAAGTTGATTAAAAAAATGTCTGGAAAAGAAAGGCTCAAAGAAAAGACCTTCAAACAGCACGTTGCCAAATAAAAGATCGATAATACATACATGCAACCTTTTTCTTCTAAATAATAAAATATGTGAAACATTGTCTGGGCCATCATAGGCCTCCTCTGTTGTTGAGTTCAAAGAAACATATTCTAATGTCAACTCAGTTCAACCCACAGTTAAGTGAAAAGAAGCATTTAGGTGCTAGCACTAGGACCACAAAATCCAGCTGCTTCAGAAATGACTTTTAAATAAGATTAAATATGTTAAGTTATAAGGGGTGGACAGAACTTTCAACTTATGGCCAGGATGGTATAACAAGGAACAGATTTCATGTCTTGCTATCATTATAAACTAGTAGAAAACTGGAGAAACTGCGAAACACTAATTTTCAGATCTGGGCTGCAGGAAGCATGAGATTATGATCCCTGAGAGAAACAAATGAGGTGAGCACTGTCAAAACCCCAGTTCTCTGTCTGGAAGCAATTTCCAGATTGAGAGTGTAGAGAAGGTGAAACCAAACAGCTTAGTGGGTTCGTTAAAAACTGAGGAGAAACAGACCAGCATTCAGGCTAGTGGAGGCAGCCGGAAGTTGCAGCAAAGTTCTGAAAAGATTGTGCTAAATCCTTAATAATCTACAACAAGCTTCCCATACATCTTTTCTTACTACTAAACCAAAGCTATATAAGACCTACCCTACAAAACCTTACAAATAAGCCAGCTGCTGGTGGTTCATACCTGCAATCCTAGCTACACTGGAGTCTGAGATTTGGGAGGATCAAGGTTCCAAGGTTAGCCTGGACAAAAAAAGTCCAAGAGACTCGAGCTCCACAGAAGAAGCTGGGCAAGATTTTGCACATCTTTCATCCTAAATACGGTGGGGAGTAAAAGACAGGATTATACTCTAGCCATGTACCTTGTCAAGAAGCAAGACCCTATCTTGAAAATATCCCATGCAAAAAAAGGGCTGGAAGTGTAGTTTAGTGGTAGAACTCCTGCCTAACAAGCAAAAGGCCCTGAGTCCCAACCCAGTGCTGCCAAAAAGTTTAAAATGGGGCTCAATGGGAAAACAACCCATAATTCCCCAAACCCAGACACTCAACATAATCCTTACAATGTCTAGTATCCAGCCTAAAATTACTGAAATGCCAAGAAACACAAAATGTAACCTATGGCAAGGAGAATAATCAGCCAAGAGAAGCATCCAGAAATGACTGATAGACGATAAGATTAAAAGAACTAAATGAAATGTCTAAAGATAAACAGGATATTAAAAATAAAAAAAATCTCACAGATGTGATTAACAGCAACTTAACATTGGTGAGCTTGAAGATACAACAGTAGAAACTATCTCAAATGAAGCTCCTAGAGAAAGATGCATCCAAATAATCAAGTTTCTGAAAAGAAGTGATAAAGAGAAAAATGTTATTCAGAAAAATAAAAAAAAAAGTCAATGACTTCATGGAAAACATATAACCTAGAGAACAATTAAATGACATGTTTAAGTGCTAAAAGAAAAATACCTTTTCAACCTACATTTCTACATTAGGCAACATGTCTTTCAAAAGTGAAAGCAAAATAAATATTTTTCCAGACAACATCCAGGAGAATTTGTCACCAGCAGACCTGTATGATAAGAATCAGTAAAGGAGTTTTTCAGGTAAAAGGAAAGTAAAACTAGATTAACTTGTATCTACATAAAGACATGAAGAATATCAGGAATTTAAATACATGGGGAAAGATAAAAGATTTTTACTTTTTTCACTTTTAAATCCTTAAAAATATTGATCATTTCAAATAAAAACAGAGACAAGGTGGTGTGGGGTAAATAACATGCAGAAGTAATACATATGATGGTGTGCTTTAGCAAGCCCTCCAAGACTCTGGTGAATATTAATAATCCAAAAGAAAGAGGAAGGGGAAAAACAGATGGGACAAACAAATAAATAGCAAGATAACCAACTTAAACTCAGTCACATGGATAATAAAGTTAAATATAAATGGACTAAACCCTCCAAAAAAAGAGGTGATTGTGTTGTGCTTAAAAGTAAGACTCAGTTATGTGCTATGTACAAAGATGATGTTAAAATTATGTAAAACTAAACTATAACCAATAGGAAAATTCTAATTCCAACATCATAAAAAATGTATGTAGTGGAAAGAGGGTGAATGATGACGGTGGCTCTGAAGATTCATAGAACTCGGATTAAAAAGAAAACTGAAGGACTTTAATATAAAATCAGATAACAGGATGACATGCAGTAGATTACAAAAGTGTTAATTTTTTATTGAAGATGAAGGCAGAAGTAATTAACTTTTCCCTGAAATCCCAACGAAGGTAAAGAATGCGGGAAGAATAACTATGTGATTTCCATTTTCACAGGAAAAGGAAAAGAAAGAGAGTGCTTCATAGCTGGAATAAGCACGCCTATACTTATATGAATATGTAGCACACGAGGGATGATCAAATGTCTAGAAAGGATTGTCCTCTCTTTCTGCAATGTGTAAAGTTTTAAAGTTTAACCAAACTCTATGTGTGAGATATCAGAAAAGGGCACTTTTTAAACATCCTGGTAGCCCTTGTATAAGAAAGACGCTTAGAACTCAAGAGACAATAGGATAAATAGATCTGCTAGGTTCCTCCCACACAAGCTATCAGCACCTTGGACAGGTATGGGCAGGTCTTGAGCCACAGCTCCATTTCCAGCTTTTCTGGTGGTTACCTGAAGATAAGAGTCTCATGGGCTTTCTTGCCAGAGCTGGCTTCAAACTGAGATCCTTACATGTGTAAGCCAATGGTGCCCAACACTCTGTTCTCAGTTTTTAGTGTCTCCTAGCACAGAAGTTTTTTCAGTTTTTCCCCTGTATGTTTAGCAGGCAAGCCCCTTCTGTGTCCTAGTATCACTAGGGCAGGGTCACTGTGGTCTCTTGGACCCTTCCTGGTGTGGATAGTCAATATCTAGTTTGATTTTGGCTTCCGATACAAAACAAACAGGTTAGAAATTTCTTACATAATTTATTTTCTTACAATGGACATTGGTGTGTGGCAAATGTAATGAAAAGGAAGACATCATATCATATATGCACCCTTTGTTTAACAAAAATGACCTGTTACAGACTTTCTTAATTGCCTTCCTATACAAGGCCCTGGCTCAGTCCACCAATCACATACCCTACCCCTCATGTCTCAGTTACTCCATCTAGACACCCTGACTTTTACACACCTCTCATTTATGCCTGCAAGGCCTGTGAACCTGCCTAAAATACTATTCATACAGGCTAGGAAGGTCCTTCAAATATGCCAGGCATTAACTCAAATGTTACCTTCTCAAACATCTTTACTCTTTAACTTCATCATAGTTTACTAAAACACATTAATGGAAGTCCCCTATGAAGTTGTTTAGTCTTCTCAAGAAAAACGCCAATTTCAACAAAGCAGGGGCTTCTCTTTTATTGTTTTCCCCCAGAATCCCCTATGTTTTCAGCAGCTCCTGGCTTCAAGGAGGTATATGATATATTGTGAAGTGATTGTATCAATATGTGTGCGAGTGACATGTTAAACAGAACAAGCATCCATTTATCGAGTACTCAGTATGCAGAATTGGAGCTGTGGATTACCCTTCACATAATTTGATTGTGACAACCTATGGTTATTATATTATCTCCAGTTTATGGAGATGGAAACCATGGATTCATGAGATTAAGTGGCATACTTAAGGTCTATCTCTCAAGTTTGAAACTTTTGGAGCCATACCAGGGAAAAAAAGAAATAAAATTCAATCTTGTAATCCCAGGCCACAACTGGAAGATAAGTCTCATGGTATGTCTGGGTATTCAGGGACTTCCTTCAGATTATCCTATTAATATGCCATCATTGCTCAAGATAGACCACCCCCACACACATAAACACAGTACACGCTACCCACATTTAATGGAATGAATCCTCCTGAAGTGTTCTGTTTAATTGAGTAAATCCTACTGAAGTGGTTTTACTTAACTGGCTATTAACTGTTGAAGTCTTGGAGCCACAACCCCCAAAAGAATTGTTAATCAACTCTTTCTGGGTAGCAATAAAGAGTGGTCCTTCCAGTACTAGCTCAGGGGGGTTTGGTGTGAGGGCACTTCAGCTGTAGGTGGCTATATGATCACCACTCACAGTAACCAAGCCTATGGACAAACAGAGCTCATTTAAAAGGTGCCAAATAGGTGCATAACCAAATGTATCAAGTAAAAGAGCTTCAGAAGTGAAGGAAGAGCATTATAAAAAGATAATACATACTAATCCTCACATAGTTAAAAATAAAAGTATCATCAATCCTGAAAATAATTGGATCACTTAGGATCCATACTGAAAAACTGCTCCACATTAAATGGTGGAACTAATCTAGAAAAGAAGCTAAATGCTGTGACTAATACAGGTGCCCACTGCCTTTTGATCAAAGTTAGCTTTGGATATCAAGGTTAAAGCAACTGCATACAGAACAGGAAAATCACTGTAGTATATGCTGTAGACACAGAGGGTAATGCTATCTTGAACATAAGGCACACTCAGGGCAGAAAAAAATCCAAATCTCAAAGGTGTGCTTCTATTTACAACTGGGAAATGGAGGCTAAGAGAAATGCTACCAGAAAATAAATCTGAAACTTTTTTTCTGTGGGTGTGCTGGTCCTAGGGTTTCATATTAAGGCCTGGGTGCTGTCCCTGAACATTTTCACTCAAAAATAATGCTCAACCACTTGAACCACAGCTCTACTTCCAGCTTTTTTGGTGCATAATTGGAGATATGAGTCTCATGGACTTTTCTGCCTGGGCTGGCTTCAAACTGGTATCCTCAGATCTCAGCATCCTGAGTATCTAGGTTTACACTGGCATCTAGTTTCAATTCTGCAACCCTTAATATAATTAATACTACCTTCCTTCAAATGGGATTTGACAATGTAAAGACTACATCAACTCTTCAGTGCACGAAGGTTCCATTAAGGACAACTGCAGATTCTACCCTGAATCTAGCCAAACACCATGTCTGAATCTAGCCAAACACCATGTATACTGCAGCTGTTTAATAAACATCTGCTGCCACAATGCATAGGCAATAATGATGTCAGCATTAATTTACTGCAGAACGATCTGCAAAATTATGGTTTTTAAATTTTGAGAACTCAAGAGAGTGAACAAATTGTTCCACTATGTGCTTTAGATTACAATGTGATCTAACCATCCAAATCATTTAAATTCAGTGCATGGAATCAGAGACATTAGGATACCCTAAAGTAATTCTTTCATTTTGCTGTGAATTCTACAGACATAAACCAATCTATGTTACAAAAAGTGTTACTAATTACATGCCTTCTGGTCATCTGAACTTAAGACAATCTTGAGTATACCTGGCTACTAGGAAAGGTAATTTTTGAACCCAAAGACCAGCTTTCACCAGATCCCCAGTGTACAAATAGCCAGTTCTCCTCTCAAGTGTTCTCCTTCCCTGGAGAGTAGAACAGAAAAGACACAAGGCCATCCAAACAAGACTCACAGGGAAGCTTCCAGAAAGGCATCTAAAACTCCTGGACTCCTGCAAGCATCCCTTGAGCAGAATGTTCTCAGGCCATGAAGCTTGCGTCTACCCAGAAGAGAGAAATTAGCTTGCCATGTCCAGTCAGTTCTGGGCTACAGTAAACAGTTATAAACATGCAGACGAGATCTAGTCCCCATGGGTGCTTTCAGCTCCCTTTCCCATGTGAAGAACCCCTGGATTCCAAATTGTTGTTGTTGTTTTTGCTAGTCTTGGAGTTTGAACTCAGGGCCTGGGCACTGTCCCTGAGCTGCTTTTGCCCAAAGCTAGCACTCTACCTCTTTAGCCACAGCAACACCTCCAGCTTATTCTGTTTATGTGGTTCTGAGAAATCGAACCCAGGGGTTCATGCATGCTAGGCAAGTACTCTACCACTAAGCCACATTTTTGGCCCATCCAAATTGTTCTTACTAGATGTCTTCTCTCCCATGAGCTGTTTCTACAGTTGATAGAATTGTCTCTGGGCAGATAGTTCAGCAACTGGTATATATAGAAATAAAAGTACTTCCAAAGCAGGAACAAAACTCCTATCTTGGACATTCACCCATGGGTATTCTAACAGCACAGCACAGACTTACCTAAAAGTGACACAAAAGGGTGATTCATCTTTTCTTAGAACAATTCCCGAGTGATTAGTCTGGCAGGTAAGATACCACCTGTTGGATTGAAATGATATGGGTGAACAGAAGCAGACTCATAAATGTCCTTTCCAGGAATGTGCGGAATGGTAGAGCAGGCTGTGGGACTGAACAAGTACTACTAAAGTCTTGATGTGTCCCAGTGAGGCCAGGATGTAAGTGATGGACTTTAGCCTGTCCTGATTTTTATGTTCCAGGAAGCTAGAAAGCTAGGGCATGGCATGGAGGCACATTTTGGGCCTACCCCTTACTGTGCAAGCTGGCTGCCACTTGAAGTAGCAGAATCCTAAAGGACCCAAAAGGAGGGTATCTCACCAGGAAAGTCTGTTTCTCCTGGTATATTTGTGTCTGTGTGTGTCTTTTTCTGTGTGTGTGTGGGGGGGGGGGGGGGTGGCAAGGCATCTGTTTCCTCTCTTAATTTGCTTGGGCACCTGTCTCTATGTTTAGATTTCCATCTTCCTTCCCTCCTATAAAAAGCCAGAAGGTAGACCAGAAGGAGATTTGGTAGTGTTTGTTATACTTAATTGAGAAAAGGTTTATATTCTCATTTCCCGAAGAAGATGCATGGCATCTTACCAAAATCAAAATATATTGTAAGTATAACCTCATTGAGGTGATATTGCCTGGATATGAAAGATTCTAAAGTAGGAGTGGAATGGGATGTATGCAAATATCAAGGAGTCCCAGGCTATCCAAGAAGTCTAGATTAGAAGACAGGTTTACAGTTCAGTAAGAATTCAAGAGGCAGAGCAGTTGGTCTGGGTGGTGCCAAGGAATCTGCATCTCTAATGCAAACTCCAGGGGCCTGATACAGATACTGGGTCCCATCCTGATTCCAGAGGCAGACAACTTCACTTCTAGCTCACATCAGAAAGGGTTCAGCCTAGAAGCTGCCTGAGATGGGAACCCACTAGGCATACGGTGATGGCCGGACTTATGGGAAGAGAAGTCACAGTTTCTAGCAGATTTTCCAAAGGGTTTCTCACTGACATTAAAAATCACTGTTTTATAAGATTCCAAACACTGATTCAGGAACATTTTTAGGGAATACACTGGACCGTGCCAGACACTATGTATGATGCTTGTATGGAAAGTCCAATGGATGAAGGTGTGAGGCTGCATTAAGTAAGTGAGTTGCTATTCCAGCAATCCAATCTGAAAACCTCTTGTAAAGGAAAATATTGGGGCGAGGTTGAAGAAATGTTTCACTGACTAAGGAGACTGGAGGGAGCAGCTGGCTAGGCCAAGGCTGACTGGAGGGTGTCAGTTGGATTAGGGTGGGACCTCTGGGAAGAAGGCCAAGAATGGAGGGGGGCTGTTTGAAAGGAACCATGGGATTTGGGCAGCAGTCAAGTATATGTGGGAGTATGTGTGTGTGTGTCTAAAAAGACATGTAACTAATCACCCAAATATAGACAGAAAGAACCAGCAAAGGAGTTCAGGGAGTAAAGGCAATGGGAGTGGACCTGAAGCCAGGGCCTCCTAGGAAGACAAGAGTAAAGCTCTGTTCACATGGAAGGCCTTGAGCTGTCCTCACCAGTAAGGACTGCCCCCTTTTTCCATACCAAGCTTGGCTGTCCGGCCCCAAGCCTCTCTATCCAGCTAAGTTAAGACTTGACAACCCCCTCTTCCCCCCCACCCCGCATCACTTTAACAGAAATGGAAAGAATGAAAAGGCTCACATTAAAACTGTCCTCAGGGCCCCAGAGAGAAGCTCAACCCCTTCCCATACTGCGGGGAAAGTCCCTCAAGCCCTTCCCCCTGCCCTCTTCCACTGCACTTGAGGCTTTGGGGAAGGGTCTTCTCTCTAAGCTCGTGACTAGTATCCATCCCTTAGCCTCCTCCAAAGAGCAGCCTAGGCCTCGGCATCCCTACCATTCGCGCCCTCCACAGCCACCCCCATTCCTGCCTCTAGCCTGCCGCCCCCCCCCACGGGAAGGCCAGGCCTAAAGGCCTTGTCGTACCCACCATCCAGGATCCATCCCCTTAGACCTTGAGCGAAAACAGTTTTCCTAGTGTTGAAACGCCCCCTCTTCTGCATACTCTCCTGTGGCCCGCAAACACTCCAGCGGCCCTGCCCGCTCACTCACTCACTCGGCCCAACACATCCTCCCGCCTCCCGCCTCCCTCACAATCACTCCGATCCGTAAGTCGCTCCCGCGGCCCACATGCTCACCCAAGCCAGGCAGCGGCTGACGCGTAGCCCTCCAAAGAGTAGAGCTCTCGGGACCCAGGCAGGCTCGGCGTGGCAGGAAGCGCCACGGAGCCGAAAGCGGCCAACCGAGCACAGCAGCCCTGCGGCGCGTTTCCGGAGCCTGGGGGCACCGCCTGGGGTACTAGGGAAGCTAGACCCCACCCCGAGCGAGGCCCCGCCTATCCTCTGGGCTTCGATTGGCGTGTAAAGGGGGCGGGTCAGAAAGGAGGCGGATCTGGGGGGCGGGACAGCGTGAGGAGGTGGAGCAGGCTACACCTCCTGTGAACAGCGCGCGGAATCAAGAAGAGAGTAAGTAAGGCAAAAATGAAGAAACAAGCAAACAAATGAACGAGCAAACAAATCGGCCAGAAGTACGGAAGGGATGGAGGGGCTCCTCCCCGCTTGGTGTCTTTCAGGATGGAGGTGAGGCTGAGGGGACATTAACAAAAGACAGCACTTAAGGAAAGAAACCTCTCTTTCTAGGAGTCAAACTTCCTCATAAAGTTATATTGTGATCCTTGCTGTGCCACACACGGGGAATACTGCAGGGAGCAAAACCAAATTTCATCAATCCTATTGGAGCACATGGCTGGCACCTAGAGCTCCTGTCTGTTTATGTGTGATTTGGGGAGGGAGTGAGTATACAACCAACAAGTAAGCACTTGTCTTAATTTCAAAATAGCAGATCATGCCATAAAAAAAAAAAAAAAAAAGGACAGGATCTTTGAATTAGGGGGTCAACCTACCAAGCAGATGATAGCTAGTTCCAAGTGATTTTTTTTCCCAGTCAACAAATCTTCAATGATGCTAATGGCCCTACACTGTCCTAAGCCTTTGGGACACATGCTTCTGCTTTCTCAATATATGGTGCCTTGAGAAAGTGATTAAACATTCCCACCAGTAGTGTATCAGACTTCCACACATTGTGCATTTGTATCAACACAATATAGTTAATCTTTTAAACTGTAGCTATTCTACTAAGTACACCTTATTGTAGTTTGGAGATGGATTGTCCTAATTATTGATTTTCAGTGCATTTCCATATCCTCATTAGCCACCTATCTATCTTCTTCAGAGAAGCTGTTCTACCTTTTTTCTATTTTTATGGCATCTTAAGTTTCAAGAGCGTTTTGTATATTCTAGGAACAAGTTCTTTGCCAGGTATATGTTTTGCAAGCATTTCCCTCTGGCCTGTGCCTTGCTTTTCATTTTCTTAGTGATTTTGAAGAGCAGAAATTCTCAATTTTGATGAAGTTAAATTGTTCAATTTTCTCTTTAAGAAAATTGTACAGTTATTGTACTTTGAAATATTGTACTTTGAAATGTTGTACTAATAAACATTTGTCTAATTCAATGTCACAAAGACCTTATTTTCTTCTAGAAATCTTGTTTCTAGGTTGTAGTTTTAAATCTCTGATCCCTCTAGTCAATTTTGTAATTCAAGATATAGTTCATGCCGGACGCTGGTGGCTCATGCCTGTAATCAGGAAGCTGAGATCTGAGGATAGTGGTTCAAAGCCAGCCAAGGCAGGAAAGTCCATGAGACTCTTATCTCCAATAAACCAAAATAGGAAACTGGAAGTGGCGCTGTGGCTCAAGCGGTAGAGCACTTGCCTTGAGCTGAAGAGCTGAGGGACAGCGCCCAAACCCAGAGTTCAAGCCCCATGACTGACCAAAAAAAAAAAAAAAGATATAGTTCAAAGTTTTTTTTTTCTTCCAATTTTTTTTTGTGTGACAATACTGTACAGAGGGGTTACAATTACATGGGCAAGATAATGAGTACATTTCTTATCAAGTATTGTAACCTCCTCCTTTGTTTCCCCTTCCCATCCCATCCTCCCTCCCACCCCCCCAACCCTCCCCCCCCACCAAAGTTGTAAAATTCGTTTTTGACATAACAACTTGTACATCTCATTGTTGCAATGGGTCCACCTGTATCCCTATTTGATGTATGTATATCAAATTATTCTACCATCATTTGTTGGAAAGACTGCATTTTCTACTGCAGTATATTGTAAATTTGTCAAAGATCAGTTTCCATATCCATATGTGCATATATTTTGGGACTCCAAGCAGTTCCAATAGTGTATTTCTATTTTTACACCAATACTATGCTGATTTGATTAGTGGGGTTTTACAATCTTTAAAATCAGATAGTGAAAGTTCTCCAATTTTGTGTTCTTTATAGTGTTAACTTACTTTTGTTTTTGTTTTCATTACCATCTGAATTCACAATCTACCTTTTTTTTTTTTTTTGTCAGTCATGGGGTTTGAACTCTGGGCCTGGACATTGTCCCTCAGCATTTCAGCTCAAGGCTAGTGCTCTACCACTTGAGCTACAGTGCCACTTCCTGCCTTTTCTATGTGGTGCTGAGGAATTGAACCCAGGGCCTCATACGTGTGAGGCAAGCGCTCTACCACTGAACCACCTTCCCAGCCCCACAATCTACTTCTTATTCCCTAGCTTATCTTTATTTGAATGGAATTAAATTTGTAGATTTGGAGAGAACTGGCATCCTACCAATTCTGACTCTGGTAAGTAATCTCTCATTCTTGTTCTCCATTAGTCTTTAATTTCTCTCAGCAGTTTCTTAGAGTTCATAGGTCTTTTACATCTTTGTCAGATTTATTTCTAAGTACTGCATATTCTTTTTTTGTTTGTTTTTTTGGGATCTGGTCATGGGGCCTGAACTCTGGGCCTGGGCACTGTCCCTCAGCTCTTCAGCTCAAGGCTAGCACTCTACCATGTGAGCCACCGCGCCACTTCCGGCTTTTTTCTTTTTGCTTATGTGGTTCTGAGAATCGAATCCAGGGCCTCAGGCATGCAAGACGAGTGCTCTACCACTGAGCCAACTTCCCAGCCCAGTACTGCATATTCTTGATACTGTCATAATTGGTATTGTTCTAATTTTTTGAATTTTTAATTGTTCATTACTAGTATGTAAAATGTAATTGATTTTTTATCGTGGTATCATATTCTGAAATCTATAAATTCACACATTAATTTTAATAGCTTTTCTGGAGATTCCACTGGCTTTTACACTTAGATAATTATGTCATTTTGAATAAAGACACTTACTTCTTCCTTCCCAATCTGGATGCTGTTGAGGAAACCTTGCCACTTTTCATAACTGTTGTCTCCAGTACAATGTTGAGCAAAAAGTATGGTGTGATACCCATTCTCGTTTATTACTTTAAGACAAAAATAAAATTAACTGGAGGTGGGGCTGGGAAGTGGCTCAGTGGTAGAACACTTGCCTTGCATGCATGAGCCCCTGGGTTCGATTCCTCAGCACCACATAAGCAAAAAGAAAAAAGCTGGAAGTGGCGCTGTGGCTCAAGTGGTAGAACACTAGCCTTGAGCTGAAATGCTGAGCGACAGTGCCCAGGCCCAGAGTTCAGGCCCCACAGCTGGACCCACCCAAAAAAAATTTAACTGGAGGCTTGCCATAGATATTCAGTACCAGGTTGAAGAAGCTGCAATCTTCTTTTTCAAGTTTTTTTTTTAACTTGAAGCCAGATGCTGGTGACTCACACCTGTAATCTTAGCTACTCAGAAGGCTGAGAGCTGACAATCATGATTCAGAGCCAACCCAGGCAGGAAAACCTATGAGACTCTTATCTCCAGTTGACCACAAAAACAAGCCAGATGTAGAGCTGTGGCTTAAGTGGTAGACTAGCCTTGATCAAAAAAGCTTAAAGACAGGGCCTAGGCTCTGAGTTCAAGCCCCAGGACTAGAAAAAAAATGAGAATATCTTGGATACACACTAGACTATACAAATTTTCTTTTTTTAATTAATTAAAATTCCGAGTGCTTAGACAAAAAATGCATTGTCCACATAAATTCTACCTATAATGTTGTTCTTTAATATAATTTTAAAACTTGAAATCTTAATTTAAAAATATATTGGACTATAGTTTTTTTTTGCCTGTGGCCTTTTTTTTAAAAGTCTGCTCTGTAGCCTAGGCTGGCCTGAACTCCTCATCCTCCCATAACTACCTTCTATATGTTGGCTTATTTTCTTTATGGGTATTTTTTGGGAGGGAAGGAGGTACTGGGGATTAAACTCTGGTCTTCATGTTTGCTAGGCAGGTACTCTAACTACAGCACTATTCTCTGCTAATAATTTTTTGGATGAGATTTCACATCGTACTTGAGAGCTGAATGAAATGTATCTATATTCAGCTTTCCAGCTACCAAAATGCCTCACTGTGTCTAGCTCTTCAATAAGAAGGTATCTTGAGATCTTTTTCTTTCTGGCTGGCCTCAAAGTATAATCACAACAATCTCAGCTTGCCAAGTATCTAGGATTGTAGGCTTGAGAAATGGCAGTGTAAGGTCTTCGCATGATCTGATATCCTACTAATAATGACTAGGAGGATTTCCTCCTCCATATCCTGCAAAGAATATATATAGGACTGGCATTGTTTCTTCCCTGAAGCTGAGAGAATTCTCTAATGAAGCCATCTAAGCCTTTGGGGGAAGGTTTTAAACTACACTTTTAATTACATTAATATAAATAGGAAAGTTCAGATTATCTATTTATTTTTATTCTGCTCAAGATTGCTGTTCTACCACTTGAACCACACTTTCATTTCCTATTTCCTTTTTAATGCATTTTGTTAATTGTCTTTCATGTAAATTTGTTAACAAATTTCTGTGTAATAGTTTCCGATTTTCTGTAATGATTTCACCATTGCAAGTCCTTTTTATTTGCTGGGCTGGTACTGAGGCTTGAACTTAGGACCTGGGCTCTGATCCTTAGCCTTTTTTCTCTAGACTGGCAGTCTACTACTTGACCTAGCTCTACTTCTTTTTTTCTGGTTAATTGTAGATAAGAGTCACATGGACTTTCCTCCCTGGGCTGGATTAAAACAGTGATTCTCAGATTTTAGCATCCATCCTAGTATCTAGGCTTACAGGTGTGAGCTACCAGGCCTGGCTGTGATTGCCAGATTTGGTAATTTGTGTGCTTTGATTCATTGTATATGTATCTGTTTCAAAAACACCTGCCTTTTGAAAATCTTATACTATATAAAGTAGAAAATGACAATTTTTTTCTTGTACTCTGATTTTTTTCTGTAAAGATA